CRRTTTTTATCRTAGATATAATACTGCTACTAATCAGTCAATTTTTAAATTTTTTGTGGGTTTAAGCAAGTTTTTTGCTGCAAATTTACTTTACTTAAAAGAGACTTAGATCATAGCTTTTTCAAAAAATCTAACTTAATTAACTATTTTTGATTCTTTTGTAAAACATTTTTTTTGTATGAAAAACGTGAAGTGATGTTATTCTTGCATTTTTTCAACATTTAAACACGTTTTGGAGAAAACAATTGAGTTTTTTTGGTTGAAGAATAATTTTTCTGCAAATCTCACTCAAAGAAAGAGAGAAAAAAATGCATATTTAAGCGGAAAAAGACAATAACTATGTTCTTTTCGAGCATTTAAACCCAATTTCGAGTAAAAACTCATATTTTTTGGTAAAAATTCATCTTTTTCTTAGATGTCCCAAGAAATACAGGTTTCCAGCATCTAAATACATTTTTGAGATGTTTTTTTTTAGTAAACTCACTTATTAGGCGAGATTTTAATCAAAAAAACACTCTTATTTATAAAAATAAAATAAAATTTTTGCATTTATGTTTATTTTTTCTTCGGAGGATTTCACTCAAATTGGTCGAATAATCACAGTTTAAGCACGTCTAAGGTAAAAATAAGCCGAAAAAAAATATCAAACAATCAAAAAAATAATATAATTAAGTCGAAAATTAAATTGTTTTTTAATTTTTAGGCTGTTTGCACACTTAAAGGCTTTTTTTTAAGATTAACTAAGAGTTAATCAAGAGTTTTCAAGCATTTTAGCACTTTTTTGTTAGACTGTTAAAACAGGCCAAACAACACCCATTTATGTCAAAAATCAATTTTTTTTCCGACTGTTTAACTAAAAAGATTTGCTCAAAGTTAATTTATTTTATAGCTAACACGTAGGCATTTGGTCGTAATTAAAAAGCACTAAAGCGTGAAAAGTAGTATTAAATATTTGCTCGCAGATCAGTGATCTTGTCGGTGAATATTTCATTCAACCGACAGAATTATTTCCGGTCTTTTTATTTTGTTTAAATAACACATAATAATTGACACTTTTCATGTACGTAATTTCCTTGCTGTGCCTATGAATATGATTAATTTTAATAATGGTCATTTATTCACGCAATATTTTTTCTTTTCACATCAACAAAAGCTTGAACTAAATGTGGAGAAAGTGCAAGCAAGGCAAAAACATTTCTATTATTTTCCTAGCTTATTTGAAGAATTTGTTTAACATTTTTTGCGTATTGTCTTGATTTCTCTTCTCTAAATAGGAAAATGGCTGGTAGCGGAGTGTTGTTACTTTTCATTGTTTAAAGATTTTTCCGTTAACTGTTGTTTTGTAATTGAAAAATAAGAAATATTTTGAATGAAATAAAATTTGTCTATAAAAATAGGAGTCTTATAAAATAAAGCCCAACCTCAGAAGCGTGATTTTTATTTAAAATTCTTTTTGTTCTTACCGACTTTTATAGCGTTTTTATGAGAGAACAAATATCACACATTAATACCTTTTGTTTTACACTTACAGCTGTCTAAATAGTGTTTTAAGATAAATAGTACGTAATTAATTAACTGTAATAGCTATTTTCGAAAAGCTATTCCAATAAACGGTAAATGTTAGGCGAAGTTGGAAAGTGTTGTTTAAATATTTCGAGAAATAATCAAGCAAATTGTAGTTTGAATATTGTACAGAGTGTCTCAGTCAATGCTCTTTTATTAATGAATTAAAATGTATATATTTCAAATTTAAAACATAAATAGATAAATAAACATAAAACCAAAAGAAAAGAAGAATAAAATATGTAATAAACTAAATTGTTAAATTGTTAATGAAGGCGATCTAACTTAACTAATATTTTGGATTCTCTTGTTAAAAATTTATTTTTTGATAAAAAATTACAAATTTAAAACAGGCGAAATGATGTTATTCTTGCATTTTTTGAAGAATTAAACATGTTTTGGAGATAACGATTGAGTTTTTTGGTTGAAGAATAATTTTTCTTCAAAATCTCACTCAAAGAAAGAAAAAAGAATTGCATATTTAAACCGAAAATGACGATAATTATGTTGTTTTCGAGCATTTAACTCAAGTTTTAGTAAAAAACTCTTTTTTTTTGGTAAAATTTTACCTTTTTTGGTAGATGTTTCAAGAAACACATTTTTTCAGCATCTAAATACATTTTGAGCTAACTTTTTTCAGTAAAACTTACTTATTAGGCGAGATTTTGAACAAATACCTTTTTACAGCTGTCTAAATAATGTTTTAAGACAAATAGTACGTAATTAACTAATAATTGCTATTTTCGAAAAGCTATTCCACTAATAAACGGTAAATGTTAAGCGAAGTTAAAGTGTTGTTTAAATATTTTTAGAAATAATCAAAAAAATCAAGGAAATTGTAGTTTGAATATTATACAAAGTGTCTCAGTCTCTCAGTCAATGCTTTTTTATTAAAGAATTAAAATGTGAATATTATAAACATAAAACCAAAAGAAAAGAAGAATAAAATATTTCACTAACTAATTTGTTAATGAAGGCGATTAATAATCGATACTGAGATTATTAATCGTCCATTAGTAAAAAAAAATTGATTAATACAACATTTTTTCCCTAACTTTTATTCTGGCGACAAAATTTGAAATTAATGCCGAATCAAAACTAATTATTTTTTCATTGCACCATCTTTAACTTCAATTTCAACTTTGAAGGTTGATATTAAAATTTTTATTGTAACTTAGGTAAATACTAAAAACTGATATTAAATCAAATTGTGAAGAAAGTAAAAACTCTCACTATCAGATTTTGTCGTCATTTATAGGGGGCTCGCGGCTTTGCCGCTCGCCTTCTTCTAGACCTCACACTATCTGATTTGTAAAGATTTAGTCAAAATTATCGGAGGCTTCGATTTGAAAAAAAAATATGTATTTCCAAACTGTCCCTTTTTTATCCTAGATATAATACTAGGACAAATTTGAGTTCTTGATTTGCCTTATTTTACAATTTACAGTAAAACAACGGTGTTGTTTGAATTAAGTAAAATTTATATTTGTAATTGTATAAGACTTATTAAAGGAATTTCCAGAAAATAAAAATAGTTTGAGAATTGAGGAAAAAAAACAACCAACTATGTACATAGTTTTAGGTACTTTTATTTCTTGCAAAGTTGGGAACAAAATTTTTGCAAAATTGTGCCTCAAAATCCTTTTTTCAATTTAAACTAAAACTTTAATTAGTTTCTTATCTACAACAATTTTAAAAAATCGTAATAAAAAATAAAATACACTACTCCAAAAAATTAAAGTAACAAAAAAAATTCCAAAATTTTTTGGTGATTTTTGAAAGGCTGTAACTCATCGAAAAATGGTCGTATCTAGATTAAAAAAAACATTTTGAAGATTTAAGTTTTTAATTTTGAGACCTTTGGCATTTTTTAAGTCTCAGAAGCCCTATAAAGCAGGAATTAAATTTTTAAACGTCAAAATCACAAAATAGTGCACTAGAAATTGATATCAAATCATATTGTGAAGAAAGTGAAAATTATAGGGGGCTTGCGGCTTTGCCGCTTCATAAAAAAGAGTGAATTAATGACGTCCATAAATGCATCTTTTTTTAGGCAAAATCATTCATTAATAACGAAAAAAAAWTTAATTACTACATTTATGGACGTTTAATTTTTTTCAATTTTTTGTCCAGTTTGTAAAAAAATGTTTTGTAAGAAAAATAGGTGATGATGGCATGTTTTATGCCAGAACGTAGATAAATGTACTAATTGTTTTAAATAAAGGATCTGGAAACCATAATTAGATTGAATAACAACATACTGATCCAAAATAAACCTTATTTTGAAAAAAAAATATGTTATTTATTTTTTCTGTTTTTTTTCGATGAAAAATCTTGAAACCAATCTTTATGGGAATCTCAGATTCTTGTTATATAAATTAAGTAATTACAATTAAGTTTGCCATTTGCAAAAAGAGAATTATTGGCTGACATTTAAGTCATATAATAATTTAGACGCAGGTTAATTTAATTACAGCTACTTTTATTAACGTTTAAATCAAGTCAATAGCAGTAGGAAGCTGGTTATAAACATAAACAGTATTTTATCTTGACCATCAAAGAGAAAAAATTGTAAAACTTCAATAAATTGCAGGATTACAATTTTTTATCTCATCTACCACATCCTGTTTCTGATAATAATTTATTTCTAAAAAATTCTTACCTGTTGTATGTCGAAAACGGGCTGTTATTGCTTCCATACCACGGGTCATTCAGCGAGTCTCCCGCATTGCCCTCATAACCATCAATCTCCAACTTGTAATATTCACCTTCTGAGAAGATCTTGAAGTGCGAGTATTGGGCAAATCTGCAAGAAGACTCTTCAGTTGTGCAAGTTTGTTTACACGACCATGTAATAATTTGTCAAGAGGGTGGAAAAATGGCAAAACGTCGAAATGTCAAGACATTTATTAAATCATAATCGTCTAATGACTTCTCCAATTAACGAATCCCCTATCACGATCAAACAATTGGTCTATTTATCACCATTTCATAACCAGGGCCGTACTCAAGTTGGTACGTAARCGGTAACTCTGCTATTTTTTAAAATTTTGAATTCGTTTTTCTGGCGTTTGAAAGAAAAAGTTTAGATCTTTCTTCCGGTGTTTACAAATTTTGAAAAAAAAATTAACAAACCCTAKAATTTTAAGATTACTTTTGTAATAATTCAAATACCCATTACTCAAATTTTCCAAATGAAATACCCCAATTTTTATTTTACTAAATGGAAGAGAATTTAATTCTGCATCGATCTGTATTAACATTCCCTATACCTAAATTTAATAATTTTTAAGTTATGGTGACTTTTTGTTAAGACTGTCGAAAATCTATTACTAGCCACATCCGTTTTCGTATAGTTTGCCATGGAAATCAAAAATCTCAAAATTGTGTCTCAATGAACGTCGACAGTGGCTTACTATTTCACAAATAATGCCAAAATATGGAGAGTCAAAGCTACTCAAACTTAGATTTAATTAATTAATTTTGTATTTATGGAGAGTTTAACAAAATTATGATGTCGTTCATTAAACAAAAATTTTTTTTTTACTTGTTAGCTTTAAATAATGATAGCATGGTAGAACCTATCAACAATAATTAAGTTTGCATAACTTTGATTCTCCATAATTTGGCACTGTCGACGTTTATTGAGAAACAATTTTGATGACATTTTTGATTTCCATAGCAAACTATGTGAAAACGGGTGTGGTTAGTAATAAATTTTCTGTAGTCTTAAAAAAAAGTCCATAACTTGAAAATTATTACATTTAGGTATAGGGAATGTTAATACAGATCAATGCACAATTAAATTCTCTTCTATTTAGTAAAATAAAAATTGGGGTATTTTATTTGAAAAAATTGAGTTATGAATATTTGAATTATTACAAAAGTAACCTWAAAATTTTGGGATATGTTATTTTTTTTTCAAAATTTGAAAACACCAGAAAAAGGATCTAACCTTTCTCTTTCAAACGCCAAAAAAACGAATGTAAAATCTTAAAAAATGGCCGAGTTACCGATTTTTAAAGTGGAAGGTGCAGATCCAAAAATTTTTGAAAAACTCCAAATATTTCAAAAACGGCTAAATTTAGGTATAGGGAAAGCTGATAAAAACTCCCTTAAAATAAC